CCTCAACCAAATACGGTACAGCGTGCCCCAGCTTATTTCATTGTACAAATAATATCATTTCTTAACATTAATGCTTTAAAGGGCATTCATACCTTTGAGAGTAAACATCCCTGATATCACTTTGAATATGGTGAATTCCCAAGAATAAACTTTCTTTATAAGACGTGACGTTCTCACGGGGATAGCTATGTATAAAAATTACTGCCTCCTGGGATGTGACTCGTGTAGTCTGACACCATCAAAGTGAGGTTGCACGTTCCTCCTATGCGTCGGTAAACATCTCATTCCAGACGCCAAGTTACTCTGTAACTGTAGCTAACCCGAAGTCCGAAATTATAATTCGGATTTCTCTATCACTTTATTCCTGTAAATATAAGGAGAATTGAGCAATGCGGAGGATGTGACAAGGTGGACAAATTTTGTGTTACCGTATTTACGCATGTATAGGCCGCACATTTTTTGCCAAAAATTCAAGAGGAAAACTGGGGTGCGGCTTATATTCGAAATATTCGAAATCACACTTCGTTTAAAAAAATATATATATATTCATAATTAGTAATACAGGGTGTAATACTCCTGAAATAATATTCCAAGAAAATTATTTTTTCTATAATTTCTGTCTGAAAATTGTGCTGCGGCCTATACACGCACGCGGCCTATACATGCGTAAATACGGTATATGCTCTTGTTTAAGCTAGCTAGGCTATCACTGTAACAGGCCTTGGAAGCCGATAGGGTTGTGAGACTTCGAGGTTCCCACATTTTCTAGACAATCGGTTCACGGATGTAGGTGAGCCTTCAGGTGGCTGTAAAACGATTTACATGCCGTGGTGTATAGTGGAAGAGTTAAAGAGGTACAGAGGGGCATAGAAAACATTTCAGAAAGAAAGTGAAGTGCCATGTTTAGAGGTGTTTGCCATTATGAACTACGTTTTTACAGTTCATCACAATGCAAAAACATAAGAATAATTCAATGAAATAAAGATCAGAAAAGTATGATAAACTTTAGGCATGTCCTAAGCGAGCGGTTAAACAAATTTTTGTCTAATCTACACGGAAATTCGACACTGGACTGACGGTGCAATTGTCCATCTTATGTTTCGCATTGCACCTGGTCACTTCGTTCCCTGATAAAGAATAAAGTCTTCAAGTGTTCGGCTTACTCATGGCAAGTCATGCACGTTAATCCACTTAATATTACTTCGTATTGGCCATTTTTAAACGGTTAGGTTAGGTTGGAGCTCAATACTGCATCCAACTAAATGTCCATGCAGGTGTCCACTGGTAGTCCATGCGATTTCTTCTAAGAGTTTTGGGAAGAAAATACTGGGGTTGACTTTTGGTTGCAAAATATCACAAAGTCCAGAAAACGTATTCGGATTCAAGAAAAGGAAAACTTTTCGGCATTGTTGAAAAAGAAAGTATGGAAAATTCATTAAAGGGAAACAGAGATGCAAAAAGAGGATTTCAGACGCCAGCAGATACGTGACGTCGCTATCAAAGAAAATGCTGTGTCGTTTTACGAATGTTTTCACACTAGAACCGCGTCCAGATTTTTTCTTTTCTTTGAGATTTGCAGTTAAAATGTGTTTCCTTCCAGCCGTGTGTTCTATATCGATGAAACTGACACATCAGCAGTTCCCAAAAAATCGTCCAAAATAATTCGTTTGAGCATGCGTTCCTGCCTCAACATGAGGGTTATATGCTGCAACTGAGATACGATTAGTTCCAAAAGCAAGAGAGAATCCACACCTCTTGAACTCCTCCCGAAATAGTCATGGCCTCTTATCCCTCTAGATGAATGCAAAAAGAAATATGTTGCCCCATTTGGCTGGACCACTTTCTGGTGTCTGCAAAACCAACTCTGAATTATCCCGAAAGATGGAAACATACACACGAGAAAACAGAAAATAAGTATGCGACTTCTGTGTTGAAATGTGACCATTGTTTCTGAATTTATGTTCCGTTTCTGAATGTGCAACTAGTTTCATGTCTTTTATTTATACAACTTGTATCGTCAGAAGTGATTCTGGCCACTCGTTTATGTAATATGCCTTGTTCCTGATTTCTCATGAGTTCAAAGAAAATAAAGTTCGTGAAAAGAAAACACCTGTCCCCACCCATGTACCACTTTACCTTATATATATCGTGAAAAGTGAAAAATATGTACAGCTTCGAAGAAATCTTAACATTTCAAGAATCATAGAAGTTCATTTTTAGCTTTATGCGGCAAATTGTTCACAAAGCAATTTAACCCTGCTCTAAACTGAGGCACATGCCTATATGCATATATTCTACATACACTGCCAACGAAGAGTTTTGCCCCAATCTACCCTATGTCATAATGCAAATCATTTATTCTGTGGTCAGACGGAATTAAACTAACATATTGTCTGTTTGTAAATGGCACGAAAACATATATTATCTTTCATTTTCAATTATGGATGGAGACTCCTTCTCTAACCCTTAATTCACATACTATAATCCCGTCCAGTGACATACATTTCGGAATAATAATTATAAATTTCGAAAACCTCCTGTCCCGTAAAAAAGTAGTAAGCGTATTATTAATATTAAAATCATCAAACATAAAAGTATTTCTAGTAATTGTGTAAAGTAACAGACTACCACAATAATCTAGAATACAGTGTTTTAGAGATATACGCACATGATTTATTCTGAACGTCTTACAGTGCATACATTTATTCACCTTACCCTTCTCTCTTGCACTATATGTTTCAGCACTAAAGTGCCATCTTCAGGTGCTTTTCGATGTACGTCGAACTACTTCATTGCATGCCCTGTTGTCTTTATATTAAAATAACTAAAATATATATTCGCCATATATATTGATAAATTTTAAATATTAAAAATATTAAAACTGTTTAGGATTTGTCATCCTTATGTCGTATCTCAATACGCGAGTCACACCTATCTTCTTCTATCGGAGTATTCTTCCTACTTTCACGTGTGTAGAATTTATCAATATATATGACGAATATATATTTTAGTTATTTTAGTATAAAGACAACAGGGCATGCAATGAAGTAGTTCGACGTACATCGAAAAGCACCTGAAGATGGCACTTTAGTGCTGAAACATGTAGTTCAAGAGAGAAGGGTAAGGTGAATAAATGTATGCACTGTAGGACGGTCAGAATAAATCATGGACATAAATCAGTGCAACAGGACGCTAAAATATAACATTAGATATAACGCACGTTGACATCTTGGTCTGTGCGTCGCTATGTCTGGCAACATTCTGATGCGTATAAGGGTGTCAGGTTAGTCCATTAAACTTCGTTACACACGGGCTAGTTCCTCAAAGTTAACATTTGAATATAAATAAGCGTTTGTATCTTCAACGATTAAATCAGTTCCAGTAATAATGAAGTGACGGGGCCCTAATTTTGGCTCTATATTTACATGGTTTAAGAAAAGGTATGAGTAATTAAATCTTAAAGCTTATAATGCAGTTTTACCTACGCAGACAGTATTGCAACAACACAAGACTTGCAACATTGAAGAAAATAATGCCGTACATATAGAAAGAATTGCCAAAAAACAAATTCAAAACACACATTTTAAATAATTACTATTCTGTGAGGTTTAAGGTTCTTCTTGCAGCGGTGGTTATGACGAGTTCTGTCTTCTGGGATGTAACAACTTATAGTCCGTTGAAGTTCAACCAACATTTCGGAGCACCATGACGCCTCCAGCTTCACGTTCGAATAAGCCAACAAGTAAACCAGCGTGAAGATTGAGGCGATGTTCCTCTGAAACGTCGGTTGACTTTCGACGGACTACACGTCGTTATATCTCAGAAGACAGAACTCTTCAATAGCTATTCTATTCATTAACAGTTTTACTAGTTTCCCGAGGTTAGGAAGAATGATAATCTGTGAGCTACTTTCATTTAGACGATGTTTCTATATGGATTTTTATTTTTAGAATGCGCTGACACACACATCAGAGAGTGGGGAAATGTGAGGTAAAACTGGAGATGAAAGTACGGCCACACGTGCTGCTGCATCTCCCTAATTATATATAACAATCGAAACGCATGCACATAACCAAACTAAACACAAGAAACTTGAGGATACTGGAATGTGATAGAGGGGAATTACCTCCTGGTAGCTCATTCGTCCCTTTTCATAATATTTATCTTGAGTAATTCCATAGCGCTTCTGGTGAGCTGTTGCACTAGTACTCCTTTTCTTACTGTGGGCACCACCAGTAAACATCATCTTGTCCGCTAATATTCTCATTGCATCGCCGCCCTTTCACAGATCTCACACAAAACAAATAAATAAAGAACAGAAATGTCACCTGTACTTCTCTTAAACTTCCGACTTCCTTAGCTGATTCCCTACATACATTCACTAAATCATATGAAATGAAAAACCGAAGTGTCAAGCTTTCGGTGCCGGAATGTAGATAGATAATATTCTCATGATAGCGCCGCACATTCACATATTTCTCATAACCTGCTACGGAAAAAGTTACACATACTTTTGTGATATTTACTTCATACAAACGATAAAAATACACTTTCGAACACACATTTAGCAATCCTAAATTCAGCTGACATGGAGCTATCAAGCACTGGCATTGAATAACATGCAGTAAAAAAATAACAAAACAATTGAGTATCGAAAAACTTTGCCGATACATCAGCGCACTCGAACGGAGGAAAATGAGAGAATAGTAACCAGTTCTCTTCAATTGGGTTCTTTCCTTCTTCTGTGCTTTTCTTTTTTCATTCTTCTTCGCACCATTTAAACACCCAGAAGACAAATTTGGCAACGGCAAAACAGACTTAAAAAAAGAAAGGAGGCGTGCAGTGATAAACCGGATTGGTTGTGTTTCAGAATAAAATCACATGACCGGAAGTGATGACGTCATGGATGCAAAGCCTGGGGGAGAGGGGACAAATCTTCGCTTTCGAGCCAAATGCTTAATATTTGATAAAAAGAGTCCTCGGTAAAGGTAAAACGGGCTGCCTTTAGTAAAAAAAAATATATATATTACGTGTACATATATAGCCCATGCATAGCCTTCACGCAAATTATTAAAATAAATGAGATCTTAAAATTCTGAAGAACAGTGATATATTCCGAACCTTTAGTCTTTCCATCAGCCATATAAAACGTAAACCAGTTCTATCCGTTGTTTTGATGGGTGTCAGACTTGTTGCCCCATGTTAAGGGACGAATATATGGTGGTAGTTTGGGCGCAAGATGCTGATAATATTTGGACCCAATATGGAAGAAGTAACAGGAGGCTGGGGAAAACTGCATGAGGAGGTTCTTAAGTTTCATTCTTAAGTAAATATCAGCATGACCAAATCAAAGAATGAGATGGTGGGAGGGGGATATAGACAACTTATAAATGTATACAAAATTCTGGTTTGAAGACAGGTGGGAAGAGAGAACATGGAAGAGACTGACATATAAGATACAATAACATTAACCAGGATCTTTCAGGAAGAGAGTAGGAGGATGTGGACTCATTTAAGGTGGCCCAGGATGGGAACTGGTTGCCATTTATTGCTAATAAACCTTTGGGTTCCATAAATAGCAGGGAACATCTTCTGAAGGTGAGTGACTATTGGCTTTTCATGGTAGATCCTGCTCAATGGAGTCAGTTTATGGTAAATGTGTGTACTACACTGGGGTAACATTGAAGAAAATGGCATCTGTCAAATTCTACATAAAACACTTATATGGCAAATGTACAGAATACAATCCTGAGATCATACTTGGCCATCACAAATTGCTATTCACAACCTAATAACACAGACTAAGATTGAAAATGAATATAGATAAAGTAATACAGGCTCACCACCTCAGAAACAATGTGTATTATGTACTAACAATATAATGCAGATTTAAACTTTGAACCTTCAGATTCCATAAACCATAGGTCATTTCTTGAACAGCTGCAGAATAACTATTATCTTCTCAAGAGACTGGCTCCATGGAGTTACTGGTTTTTACAATGGGCATCCATATCGTTTTTCACAGCTGAAACAGTGGAAGTATTTAACTATTTTGATACCTTCCTTGACAATACAGGGATGGTACATGTATGTCTGCTAGGGCTTCTATTTCATTTCTAACAACTACCTAAGAAAAGAAAAAACACCTAACTTACACCGAAGCCTGACTCCATGGAGCAGAGTCTATCTTGAGTAGCTGAGAGTTACTCCACTACTCAATAAACTGCCTGTCCTTCATGGTACTTGAAAGTTAATTACCAAGTTCACATTTTTACACCCTGTCTTTAGTATCTACTTTAATATATTATCCACCCTGAATGCCAAGGTATCCTTAATGCCTTCCCTTCTGATTTTCTGACTAATTTTGTATGCACATCTCATCCCCTATGAATGCTACATAACCTGCCTATCCCATCCTCCTCTATTTGATCACTCTAATATTAGCCAAGAATTATAACAAAGCTCCTCATTATAACATTTCCATCTTCCCGTTACTTCTTCTTTCTTAGGTCCAAATATTCTGTTCAGCACTGTTCTCAAAAACACATAATTTTTACTTTTTACTGTGACAGACTAAAGTGCACACTCCTGCAGAACAATAGGTAAAACTACAGTTCTGTATATTTCTCAACTATTATGCTTTTAGATAAGAGCTGAGAAGAAAAAAAGATTCTTGACTGAATGGCAGCAAGCACCTGCTTTTAATATGATTATGTGTGTGTGTGTGTGTAATTGCTGTCCACAAATAGCTGAATTTCGCCAGTGTCAAAGTATTCATTATTATTTTGTCCTACAATTTGTTGATGAGATATGAATATATACTGGGTTTTATGTGTATTTACTTCATGATATTTACATTTTCTCAGAAACCAGAGATAAGCACAAAAAACAGCACAGCAATTATATTACTTCACTTCTACAGAAGTTTGCAGTATCTTAGTACAAAAGGCCTACATATTTGTAACATTTTATTTTGATTAGTAACAATTTATACTCTTTTGGTTAAGTAAGTGCAGTAGATTTTAAAATTGCTTACATGAAATTTATTTTACAGGTACTACACATATGCTACTATGCTTGACTCAAGGCAACTGGCAATAATGAATAGTCAATATTAGGGTTAATTTCACTTTTATCTTCAATAGAAATACTCACATCATTAAAACACTACTTTTAAGCATTTCTAAGTTTCTTTTCACATGTATATTTCTAGTAATGTAACATGATATTTTAAATTAAATGCTACAATAAATATTAAAACATATGCTTTTGCAATGTCATTATTGAGATTTTATGCTCCTCCTTCAGAATGTATTCAAGAAAATGAAATACACAGTACCCAGGACATTATCAAAGAATGATATTCTTTGAAAGAAACAATTTTATAGAAAGCATTTTTTTAAGTAACATTGTCCTATCACTTAACAGAACAATAATCCTTCAAATATCATACACAACTATCTTTCCCTCTGTAATTTATACTTTCTGAATAACTACAAGTTACAATTTTACATACAACATACGGTCTGCATATTTAACAATGTTCCTGTACACACATCCTTTATTTAGCCTTCCTAAGAAAAGTCTTTTTTCAAACTAAACCATTTTTCATCCCTTACATGAAAATATAAGAATTTCAGTGTAAAAAATTCATTCATTCAGTCATATAAACAAGTTTCCTCTCAGAGAAATATTTAATGAACAGACTGTCCTAACAATTCACTCTTTACAACACATGTAATGATCTCTGTAACTTACATAATTCTCTTTTAAACTATGGCCTAAACTTGTTTTGAATAAAAAATCGACAGGTCAGATTGATAAGATACCATCCATACTCCATTCCTTACTGAAAACACAAAATAAACCAAGAAGCTGCGAAATGAGGAAATGAACTACACCTACACTATTACTCACATCTGTCCTCAGCATTGCTCTGCCATTTTACTTTATTCCTCATTCTGATGTATGGCTTAAAAATATGACAACCTGTAAATCCAGATTTAATATGTACATGTGTACTGAGTACCTTTAATGTGTTATGCAATTTCATAATTAGAAACGTTAATAATTTTGAAAATGTGTAACATCTTGTACATATTAACCTTTTATGTACACACATCTTGTACATATTAACCTTTTATGTACAAGTACATAAAACACAGTAAATGAAAACTATCTGCATATGGGTACAGAACATACTTATACTTATTTTTTTATTAATATTAATTTATTTAATTGTAGCTGTAATCATATTTGCATTGTATTAATTGTGTGTAGTGTGTCCTTTATTGCTTATGGAGTTTTATTGTCTTATTGTACTAACACTGCCACTGAGTAAAAACCCATTTGCAGATTAAATATAATAATAATAAAACCATTACAAGTCATGTATAGTAGAAATGAGTTTACAATTCTCTAACTACATAGGCAACTAATTCAATGGAACAAATTAGCTTCAGAAGCCAACAGTCACTCTGCTGGTCAAGGAACTCCCCACTCTTTACAAAACTTCAGACATTTGTTTCCCTGTAACTGGAGCCTATCCTAACCCAGTTGAATCTGGTCACACATCCCCATAATCATCCATTTTAATATTCTCGTATTTATGCATTGGGTATTCCAAACTAACTTTTCATTTGTGTTTTGGTCACTTAGTTTTATACTGTATATTTTACAGTATGTGTTTGTTTTTACAACAAACACAAGAAAAGCTTACAACAGGCAAAATCAGAGGACATGTTTATTTGCAAGTACCAGAATAGAGAATTTGTGTGAAAATAATTAAATCAACAAAACTATCAGAAACTTCTGTTTATTGACTGTACATGTGCCATGGCAGTAGTTTATGTCGTATACACATTAAATCTGAAGACTCATTTATACATTCAGTGCATTTCAACTATAACTACCATTATCAGGCATGTCACTTCATTTGTTGAGCACCTTTGCTAGCAGGAACAACTCGTTTTTTTTTTCCTGTGGCGCTACAGCCCCAATTTTGGGCCTAGGCCTACCTCCATGAAGCTCTCCGTTTCACTTCGGTTTACTAGATCTTACACATATGGTAGGACTCCTTGGGCAAGTGATCAGCTCGTCGCAAGGCCTCTACCTGTAGACAAACACAGAAAAACGCACACAAACATCCATGCCGAGTGGGATTCGAACCCACGATCCCGGCTTCCGAGCGAGCAAAGACAGTGCATGCCTTAGACCGCTCAGCTACCGTGACCAGCTAGGAACAACTCATATATATATATATACACACACACATAAAACTTGCTGTTTCCATACAACTCTTACAAAACCAGCAAAATTCATTTTGTGGATTTAGGTTGAAGGCGTGGGCACCAAATAACCCTTGTACAGCAACTGTCTTCCATCTAGTGTTTATATCTGCTGGAAGTACTTTAAATACTAATTACTAAATAATTAAAACACTTTGTTAAATACTTTATGAAGAAAGCTCATAAGATAAATTTTCCCGATTTCACAACAGGTATATACATAAACAAAGCATGTTATAGGAGATGATAACAGAAGCTCTTGGACATTAAAAGGGTGGGCCATACCAACCTTTACACCATGATCTTCACTCTATTATGTGTCTCCTTTCTGAGTTAACCCTCTAATAGTGCGATGCTTCACATGAAGAGTAGAACGTTGCTCAATGGTGCATTTTATTTAGTCACCTGGCTTCATGACATGGAGTCCCAAGCGGTGACAGATTAGCTAGAACCTCACAGTTAGGGAGACCTATATGGCTGCTGTGTTTGCATTAGAACTTAACAATAGGCCTGGTGAGTACAGTTTTAATCAAAAGCACTGCGAGCATGAGCAAGAAGAAGCAGAGCACCACACAGCCTCACACAGTACGAGACACAGGATCACTCGGATCATCCATGCCTGGACTGTCTTCAACATCAGCTGACGGGTGGGCATTTCCCAGTGATTCACATCACAGTGCCACAGACTGTTGCACATGTGCCATATATAACAGTCCCGCAGGTTGATAAAGGCACAGATGGCACAGCACAACAAGCTATCACTACCAACCTCCCTGCATGTTTGGCCATTGGTTTGATTGTGGCCTATAAAGACGAGTCTGATTGGGTGGGAACTTCAGAGAGCTGTGGAGAAGAAAGAGCAGTTGCATGGGCCAGTCTGGAGACAGGCAGAGTGCAGCAGGACCATGTTATCTCAAGTATCAATATACACAGTGGTGGATCACCCCATGATGGGGAAGACACATAGGAGGGTGGCTCAATGTACAACATATCCTCAAAAAAACTCAAGCAAAATCTTTTAGCACCATAAATTCTCATTTGTTTTCAAATTTCATGCTTCTTTTAACATACATACACATGTAACCTAAGGCAATAATCCTCTTCTACTGGTACATGAAACAATATCCACAATGTATACATCATTAAATTACAAAACTCTATAGAAGATTTGTTATTTTCATATTGGTGAAGGCTCACATTGTAGTCTTCTGGGTTATATCGTGCAGTCTGGTAGGTGGTTACAAATATTCTATCTTCAAGCTGGAAGTAACGATGGAGGTAGTCTGTTAGTCAAAAACACCAATAACCACGTGCCTATGGTGGTATAATATTATTTGTTTGTAATTTATTTAACACTGCTGTCAGTAACTCAGATTTTATAGTGCTGAATGACAGTGAATAATGAATTGGAAATGATGTGGAAGGAAGCAGCTGGGGCCTCATTTGACGTACTACTCTCGCATATGGTCGGACAGAATGAAGAAAGCTGTGAAAAAACTCAAGTCATGATAATCAGTGTACTGACCAAGACTTAAATTGTCCTCTACCAAATACAAGTCAGACATGTCACCACTTCAGCCGACCTGCTTGGACCTATGGTATCATAAACCAGAAGTCACAACACAAAACTTCATACTGCATAGAATTTTACACACCTTCCAAGAAGTTTATTTTCTTAAGAAATTAACATTTTCAATGTTCAAACAGGTGATCAGAGCCTCACAGAAACGATTTCTAATTAAGAGGAAGTTATAACTGCCTCAGAAAAAAAAAAAAAGGATCTTGGTCAAGGATAAAATATCAGGATGGGCACTTCAGAAACTTCATGAACACAGCTCTGGTTGAATTGCATCACCATCTCAAAGGTTCCACAGTTTTCAAGACTCCTTTATGTTCACAAACAGGTATGCTCTCAAATTAAATGAAATAAATAAATACACAGCAAACTGATTACAAGCTTAAAGAACTTGCAAATAATGGGTTTTATATTAAGTACATTTCTACTGAAAAGACTGTTACCCAATGAGACCAAAGCAATATTTTCACAGTTGGTACATGAGTGCTAATTTTAATATTTAGAGATACTTTCCTTTTGTTATTACATACTGTCATGCATACTGTGGTTAACAAAAGCAACTGGTGGCCTACATTGATTTTAAAAAGTACATATCTTTAGCAAAATGACATTTTTCATTTTCCATAACATATACTGAAAAGATGAACTAGATTATAATAATTGCCACAGCCCAAAATACTTATATCGCTAACAAAGATACAGTAAAACTCACATTTAAAATGTGAATACTAACTACAAGAAAAATTTCCATGTTGGAAATATGTTGAATACTGGGTTATGAACATAAAAATTAATCCCTGAATGGGAAAAATTCTTGTATCAGAATTTCACTGTCTCATACACAATGTAACATTTCTCAACAGGATACCAGACTAAAAAAAATCTGCAGAAAAGTGGCAATCATCATGAATCTAAGAGAAAAGTATGTAGTGCTTTATATGTGGAGATGTGGTGAGATGGAAGATATCAGCTATTCAAGCTATTCTAGAAGTTTAGTGAGGCCAGAGTGATACAATTTTGCACACATCTTCAGACCCCTGAAATAAAAATAAGATATAAAGTGAGACATACGATGGGGTACCCAAAAGAAACCGAACTAATTTTTTTGTGGGCAGAGCTTTTGTAGTACCGCGTTTTGCCGCTATGAGCGCATAGAGCTAACATTCCTGAGTTGATAAGCCGACTACCGTTGCTTCAGAAGGTAAGGACTAGTTTCGGCAGAGTTTATAGTGATAACTGTTTTGTGTGATCGTCGCTTTTCCAATGGCCCGAACACATGAAAATGTTGAAAAAATTCGTGAAATCATGAAGGAAGAACGACAACGGACCATTGAAGAAATCGTGGAGCTGTCGGGAGTGACTTGGAGCTCAGTTCAGCGAATTTTGACAAAAGATTTGAGAATGAAAAGGGTGGCTGCGAAATTCGTGCGATGACTGCTGACTGCTGAACAAAAACAAGGTCGCGTGGAAGCATGCTGTGCTTTGAAAGAAGAGTCCCGAAATGATCAAAACTTTTTTTCAGCGTTTTGCTGATGTTGCCGAGGTGAAGGAAAAAAACGACGGAGGCGCTGTCAAGCATCTCAAAAGATGAATTTAGACAATGTTTTGAAAAATTGAATAAAAGACTAGACAAGTGTATTAGTGCAAGTGGAGAGTACTTTGAAGGGGATTGAAGGTTTGTGCTTAAAATTTGAATAAATAAGTTTAAAAAAAAATAAGTTCGGTTTCTTTTGGGTACCCCCTCGTATGAACAGCCTGTATCCATAGATGACAACTAACCAACTAAATGGAACTGAGACCTTCTTGAGAAGTTATCCAGTTACTCAAGAATTTCCCAACATTTGATGTAAACCTGAAGGTTCATTACCATGTTCACAAGAGCCCTACCTAAAGAATCTCTCCAAGTCCAAGGCATATCAATCTAAAATATGAACTGTATTCAGACACAAAACAGAATTTACTAACAAAAGACACTCTCTACTGTACATACATAGTTGTATTATATGCTCTTCTACTGAATTCATATTACTTGTATTCTATACAAACTGCAGTACATACATGTATTTTACAGGAAATTCTTGTTTCATTTCGTGAGTTCTTCCATATAGCTACATAATTTGCCAGAAGTCATATACAGTGCTTAAAAATATTTAGAATTTAATTACTACCATCTGAGTTAATTTAATTACAGGCCATTCTCAATTTAAAATAAACCTAGATTTATGACACTAATATACCGATACCATAAACCTCACAAATTTATACCATACCCCAGGCATATGATATTATCACGTGTTAGAGTGACTATCGACAGAGTTGTGGATTGGATATTGGATTTACTGACCACTTAACACACAATTTGTAACTACACTTAATTATAGCACTGTCACTAATTTCCACATTTTACAGTTCATTAGAGCACACATAAACTCTTTTCCACCCCGCAGTTTCTTCACTAGTAGTTGCCTGGTAACGGCTTCTAACAGTGGTTGCTTCTGGGCTCAAGTCCTCTCTGAATCGAGACTCCCTTCCAACTGACTAAGGTTTTACTTCATCCCACTTATAACCCCTTGGCCTGAACCACAGTAGAAAACATTGTTTCCAACAGTACCTTTACTGTTGGATGTTGATTCATGGTGCTCTGAGTATATTTTCTCATGGGTAAATCTTTAGATTTGGTACTGTATGTATTAGTGTGTTTTGAGCCTTAAAATGTTTATTATACAATTTACAATATTCTTTGGTACTTGAAGTGTTAATTTATAGCCCAAATAAGATTTATTACATATTTTCCTTCCAAGGTCTTGGAACATATCTTAGTACATAACATGTTAAGTCTGTGAAAAATTTGTACTGTGGCATACAGACCCATTGTTAGGCAAAGATCTTGAAACAAAGAAGTTTAGCCATTGCTGTGCAACAGACGAATAAACAATGGTCGTTTCTGAGCAAGGGCCTGGTAAAAATGTTCCTGTGGAAATGAATACACACACACAATAATAGGTGTTCTTGATGTGGTCTGCAACGAAGAGTTATCATGAAGACAATTAAGTTGACCAATTCAGTCGTCACTTGAAGGTTTGCAGTTCAGCTGAGCTCTGCATGGAGGGCTGAGAAGAGATGGCACTATAGTTGGGTTGACAGTTGTCAAGAGTTCTGCACAGGTGGCTGTGACAAGAGAACCTGAGCACAGGAAGCTGAAGAATCTCCACTGTTAGAAGCCATTGCCAGGGAACAGATGGTGAACATACAGCAGGCTGGAAAGGTTTAGCAGGTGCTAGTGATTTGTAAAGTGTGGAGATCAGCAATAGCACCGTAATAACCTGTAATTCTGAGTGGTCTGTACAAGTGGACAATAAACCCACTATCCACTCCAAACCTCACAATAGTCACACACCACCAAATACGTGACAATATCTTACATACAATGTTATTTTCAGGAATGCATTAGAGTTGTGAGTCGTGAATGGCCCATAGTTCCCAAGTCAGAGCATGTGTTTTGAGTGTGCTGGTGTGATATCTGAATGAGTTCCCTAATTTAGTACGATGTACTTTCTAAAGAGTCAGTTGCCTTTCTTTTATCACATTTTCTCAAACAATAATCAAATAATTATAATATCAATAATGATACAGTTTTCATAATCACTCTCTGGTAAGGAATTCAGTTGCACGACGTCACAGTCCTAAGTTTCTCTCACAAACAGTTATAAAGCCACAGAAAAATGTTCATATACTAACTGTACAGAATGCTCCAGCTTCCAAACACAGCTGACAAAATTCAGTCAGCTTATCACAGCCTGACTAATTTCAATTTTAGTCAATCATGGCTACATCTACTCAATTTCATGTAATCCTGGTCTCACACAACATTTCACTCTCCTCAGTAACATTAATTCATTTTTATTACAGTCACTGTCACACAGGAGCATGGCAAACTAAATTTGATCATGCATAATGATCTACTGGAAAATCATGGAACACAGCCACAACACAACCAGTGTATCATGCCAAACTGTTTGTTAAAACTTGGGATTCCTCCATATCATACTACTTAACTGCACGAGGTACAACATTTTAACAAGTCTTTAATTTTTTTAACATTTCATGAAGTTATTAATATTTACGCAACTATTTTACATGAAGGATTTGATTTAAGTCTTTTGATTAATACAGTCTGTCCATGTTAGAGGAATTACATTTTTATAACTTTTTGTTTTATACCTGACTTTATGTCAAAGTTGTAACTGCCATATGATGATACAGAAAATTGTAAAAAAAAAAGAAAAAAAAAATGTTCACTAAGAAACATTTATAACAGCAATAGTTCTTTTCTGTAGTAGAATGGCTGTCTTAACAAATTCTATAACGTTACCAAAGTGGTCTGTGTAACAGTGACGTGTTAAGTCCTATCGTCTCTACTGACACTGCAGCGATCACGTATTAGCACTACTTTAATATACCATTAAGCTGTTAATTAAGGGGTCAGTTTAGGCCAGCTAATCCAAAAAAAAAATGCAAGTGCCCAATCTTTCAAAATTCTAGCATGATTTTCACATCATAAACTAATCTAACTGCTGTGTTCTATATATGCAACTCTAAGAATGTATACCAATTCAACTGTTTATTAATAATCATTACATGTTTTGACCATCCAACTGGTCATCATCAGGTATATAATACCTACAAATATTTTTTAATTGCAACCATTTTAACTAACATAAGGGCCCATATTTACAATTGTTTCTACCATCTATACTGGATTCATTGATATAAATCATAAAATTAGGTGAAACTGATCCCACAGCACTGAAGTAAAATTAGTTAAATGTAATCTGACCCAAAAGCGCTCTAAGCGTGTAGTCCCTTCTTCCCCGTGTTAGCTTGGCGTTGATTAGCATTTGTGATACACGTGAAGCTTTGAAATAGATAGATGGGTGTTACTTAGCCTACTAGGCTATGGTCTTTCACTTTTGTACTTGGGCTGTAAAGCTATAGCTATAGCTTGAACAGTTTAAGCTGTACAGCCCAAGAGTACACAAGTGAAAGACCACGGCCTAGTAGGCTATTATTTTTTTTATTTATTATTATTATTAGAGGGGGTGGGTTTCCCCATGTACTTAGACAGTTATTGGTCCATTGTGCATACCCCTTTAATTTCTACTGTCGCCATACCCTACCGGTAGTGGTGCATGCTATCAGCCCCATTCAGCCAACGAGGTTGGCCCTTGGTACCTGATATTTCCCCCATCTACCAGAGGCATTGGAAACTACTTGGGTGTGAAATGTGTTGCCTAATTTTGCTCAGAGGTCTCCTAGAGACATGAGGATCTTTTACGTGCCGTAAATCTACGACATGGTACCTACGGCTTAAAGTCCCTCCTGGAGGACTTGTTCCCTGATTTTTTCTGCCCTTAAAAATTCCACGACCTCCGCCAGGTTTGAACCCGTGTACCTTGAGTCATGAGGTGGGAACGTTACCCCTAGACTACAGAGGCCGCTCTAGTAGGCTAAGTAACACCCATCTAACTATTCCAAGTGAAACAGTTCAAGTTGTACAGTCCAAGAGTACACAAGTGAAACAGTTTAAGCTGTACAGCCCAACAGTACACAAGTGAAACAGTTTAAGCTGTACAGCCCAACAGTACACAAGTGAAACAGTTCAAGCTGTACAGCCCAACAGTACACAAGTGAAACAGTTCAAGTTGTACAGTCCAAGAGTACACAAGTGAAACAGTTCAAGCTGTACAGCTCAAGATCACACAAGTGAAGAACCATAGCCTAGTAGGCTAAGTAACACCCATCTATCCATTCCAAAGCTTCACGTGTATCACGAATGCTAATCAACGCCGAGCTAACACGGGAAAGAAGGGATAACACCCTTACAGTGCTTTTGGGTGAGACTACATTTTACCTAATTTTACTTCAATGCTATGGGATCAGTTTTACCTAATCTGCATTATATGTAGCAATTTTACGATGTATATCAATGAATCTAGCACAGATACTAGATTGAAACGATCATAAATATGGGCCCATATGTTAGTTAAAATGGCTGAAATTCAAAAACAGTTGTATGTATCACCTGATGAAGACCAGTTGGACAGTCGAAATATGTAGTAATTGAATGGGTATACATTCTTAGAGTTGCATACATGGAACATGGCAATTAGACTAGTTTTATCACGTAACAGGATACACTCTATAAAGACTGTTCATGTCATAAACTTTACACATTACAATGTCACACAAACATCAACTCTGCCTAAAGAAAGAAAAAAGGTAACCAAATGTCTGTTACTGGCAAAAGTGGTGTTTGTAAACATATAACAGTGTGCGTGGTCTGTGGTCTCCAGTGTCTACTGGCACTCCATTCAGAGCACACAATTCATATTGGTTCTCTCCTTTTTGTTTTTAGCTACACTCCTCTATGATGTTAAACTGGAGCTACACCTGCAATAAGAAAATGTCCAATTATTCTCTACCTCTAAAATATTTTCCAAGCTACAATATTACACTATTTACATTATTATTCTAGAATATTAAGAAATGGTGTTTAGGGACTAAGCTGTAATATTATACAACTTTTATATGCACAACAAAAGCCATTCATTACTGTAAAATATGTAAACCTACAAGGAAAGATTGTTCCAGTCCCAATGAGGTGGAATTTCTCAACTGACCTAACCCTTCCAGCTGCACTATGGCCCTGGGGTTAACTCAGGCTTTAACAGAAATGAGTACCAGGAATCTTCCTGGGCCAGTGCATAAGGCTGACAACATCTTTGAGCCAATTGTCTAGATAACATGGGACCTTCAACATTTCACAACCTTACAGGCCTCCATGGCCTGTTACAGGGATAGCTTTACCATTTTACAAGGAAAGATGATAAATACACTTGGTTGTCGACTTACGACCACAAAAAAATTGAGNTTATTTTATGATATTGTATCTACATTATGTAGTGTCAAACAGCAAGAAGACTGAGGAGTGATCAACTGGAAAGGATCTGAAAGAAGACAGTAATGGCCTATCGAGGTACCACCTAAGCATATGCCTTCATAGCCTGAGAAAACCCCCAAAATCTTAGTCAGGCCAGTCAATGTTCCAGCGGAGATCTGAACTAAGCATCTCTAAAGTAGGAGTTAAGAGCAATTCAATTTCAGCAACTTGCTCAGTTACAATTCTGTATCAGACAGTTCTTCATCAGATCAGGAGTAGCCACAAAGGCAGTGAGGAAATGAATGAACAATACTCTTAAGTCTATAAGATGATTCAAACATGCAAAAGACTTCCTTCCAGAAATGACTAAGGAACAATTAGAATTAAATAGAAGCCAGCTCAGATGGTTGACAGGATTATTTTCATAACACTGTCAACTAAAAGGACACCGTTTTCAAACTTGGATTACCAAACAATATCAATTGCAAAGGATGCCTGAACGGAGATGAAATGCCCTCACACATCCTATATGACTGTGAGTCCCTAGATGACTTGAGACTATGTCACCCAGAATGTTACTTTATGGAACCAGGTGACTACTTAGATCTACTGCTGTACTTCACTCAAAGTGTGGGTTACACCATGCACTAGATATGGACAGCTCACACTTGAGGCATTCATTCAACAATTTCCTGTTGAAATTTCAACAGTTTTTATGCAAGTTCAAAATAAAGATGTTTACTGTCATTTACATGCCCTGTGTACTTCTCAGGAATGATGGAAGGGTGAAAATGAGAGCTATACACAGCTTTGGTGCACTGAAAGGATTCTCAGATCATTTTGATACTGCATTAAATGTATGTCTTACATAGCATAAAAGGAGAACAGAAGATGAAAATGAATGGTGAATGGGTAAGGATCTGGTAACTGTCAGTTACAATGCACTCAACAAACCACTCACTCAATTGGTCAGTACCTAGAAGGGGACACACATTAGATTGAGGATGGTCACAATGCAAGGGCTGGTTCGGCCTATCTTTTATTCATTCATCCACTCATATTTGATGAGATACTAATCATGGGAAAATTTTTAGTAGTGGAAGTGAGATACATCATATCACTGTGTTGAAGGCAGTGAAATGCAGAGAGGAAACAGAATTTATGCCAGTGCTTCATAAACACTTAATGCACATTACTTATGAATGTATGACAATTATTATGAAAATCCAAACAAAAGAACCATCTGTTAGACAATTTTAAGCCATAAGTTGTTTCTCCTTTCTTTGTGTTCACTAGGAAGTGAGGTTTGATTCCCAGAAGAGAAAAGATTTTCTCTTCTCTGCAGCATCTTGACTTGAACCTACCCAGCTTCCTAACCAATGGGTACCAGGAGCTCTCTCCCCAAGGACATGAAGCTAACCAATCACACCCATTTAGTGCCAAGGTTATGAAAGCATGGAGTTATATGAGTACTTCATTCCATCATACATCTTCTTGATGTGCGTTTAATTAAGCATTCGGACAATTTTACCGTTACTTCTTGTTGACCTTCTGCACCGTCCACATATGCTATGAACAGTGCAAACACACATGTGCACACATAAAGACAGAGTTTCAAAATGGTGGCTCAAGTGGAATCATGTACTAAGATAATACGCATGGCGTTATTTAATTTCAGGGAGTTGTAGCTGATAAAACAAGTGAATATTTATCACAGAATGAAGGAAACATATGGAAGCATGCACTTATCTTTAGATTATGCCAGTAAGTAAATGCAAAAACATTAGATGATGTTCTGTGGCCTGGTGAGGGGTACAATTCATCACTCTTGACCCAATTGTGCTATGTCAAATTCTGAACAGTTTAGTGGTTCAGACCTTTACAAAACTTTTCCTGGGCAAAGGATAAAGGATCTGGCAACAATTGAAGTTCCATTTTCTGCATGTCAGAAGAACTGAGGTACAAATGTAGAATTGCATAGTTATTACACTGATTTTCAGAACCTGAAGAAATTAATGGTACAAATGTGATTACTACTGTTACAACATAAGGAAATGTCAGAAATCATCACAACTGAAAGATCACAGTACGACCTTGCCTTTACATTCCTGCGATATATGTTTTCCTAATATACATAGTTTCTTTGGCCCAATTAATTTTCCTACCATTTTGATGATTTTCATTCCCATTACATATGCATCACTTCATTTGAATCTCTCAAGTTTTGCACCAGTTTTTGTGATTGGTCAACTTTTCTTTTCAGTCGCTGGCTACTCTACTGTAAACATCACATTAGTGTTTCATATTTTATTGTTTCCAAGTTAGCCATTATTATGATTATGATTATTTTGAGGTACAAGGCAACGCAAAATAGAAACTATTTCCTTACATGAACAACCCATACATAAATGGAATATTGACATACACAAGGGGACTTCTTTCACTTCCTTGGGGAAACAACTGGGATTGTCAGTATCAACTGTGAACAAAGTCGCCATGTCAATGAAGCAAATCCACTGTTCATACACTGCTTACTGATTTATGCAAATTATATGCTGAGCATTCCAAGGCTGGAAGAGGGCTCATAACGTTTTCATTTCCTGCAACTTACACCATTTTCCAGCAATCAACTGTTACACAGTGGGGCTGAGAAAGATAAATGTGCTGCAACTGGCATAGGACTCAGGAACATTGAAACTTGGAGAAGTAAGATTTTTAGACCTTTATTAATGAAATAATATTACAAATTTGACATAAAACAAAATTTTATTGTTCATTTCTTCTGCATGTTGTACCTCTCCTACCTGGTGATGGGCCTGTTTCTTCTGCATATTGTGATGGTCTCTTTTTGGAACAAGGTTCGGGTGGCAGGGAATGAGATGCTTCTGCCTCAGTTTGTAACGAAGAGGCCTGTTGTGCTAGAAGGACGCGATATTCCAATGACTTGTGAAGTTGCTCGCTTTCCTTTGGGCTAGACTAAAAGACAACCACACACATTAACTATATACAGAATGATTCTAAATTATTGTCGGTTTCCGTGGTCTATAATTTTCAAACTGGAAAAAACACAACAAAACTGCTTAGAGAACATGAAAGTGTAACTCAGAAAGTTTTATCACCTATACACTCAATACTGCAGAATGCTAAACAACTTCAAGGTTTGAAAATTATAGGCCATGGAAACGCCGACAATAATTTAGAATCACCTTGTATTTAAAAAGAGGATATATAAATTGTAGCAAACTGACAGAAAAAGAAAAAAACTCACTATATTAAAAATCATATAATGAAACCTGGATTTTATGTTTCTGTAGAGACCATTTAAAATAAACGTTAAATCAAGGAAATGAAAATGTATTGTAAATGTACAGATAGGCAACAGTGCAATAAACAACTCCTCGTGTAAGCACACTCAACAACAGGACTAACGTTTATAGCTTGTTGCTAGGCAACAGTCAGCACGCCAATGAACTGGTGAGATAGCTATCACGTGACTGGCTTTCTATGAGGTCCATGTTGTGACCGTTGAAATTAAATATATTACATTAATAATGCATTACATCAAAAATGTAATCCAGTTACATTTACTGCATTAAAAGTCTAATGTAATTCACTTATTCCACATGTCCGTTAAAGTAAATTGCTACTTCTTTGCTCTCTGTTGAACTCAGTATGCCTCATTCTCAACATTACTGAGAGCAGCCATCGTGTTATCACCAACATCAAACTTGATGAGGTATTTCCTCACAATGTTGATGACCTCCTGTGCTGACCAAATTGCTGGCAAAAGTTCACTTTTCCCACCACCATCTTCCTGCTGCTCCTCACACACATCAGATGTAAACATTTCATCCATCACAAATATAAATCACTCCGTCCAATGTGACCTGTAAGTTTTTTACTACATGAAAACTTAACACCCTTACATGTTTCGGTCTCTGTGGACCATCTTCAGAGGGCAAACATCACTACAAATAGGAAACCACCATCACATAAGTTGTTTAGACGTAAAGTACGTACACTTATATGCTACAATACATAGTACACAAAATAGACTTTTCACATTTCACAAACATTTGTTTCACACAGTGAAAACAACACAGCAGCCATGAGCAAAGCCTGGACGATATAAAGAACCTCCACATCAAGATAGCCAGGTGACACATTATCTGCCCCATATAAGAGGGACGATGGGAGGATGAACACGAGCCTGCATGGTTTACGAATTTTAATTATTGACAATCCCCCCCAAAAAAATTATTAGCATCAAGAAATTTTATATAATTTTATAAAAAACTTTACATTCCCAGGAAACTGCTGTGTATGTGAAATGTCTATTTTGTGTACTATGTATTGTAGCATATAAGTGTACGTACTTTACGTCTAAACAACTTATGTGATGGTGGTTTCCTATTTGTAGTGATGTTTGCCCTCTGAAGATGGTCCACAGAGACCGAAACATGTAAGGGTGTTAAATTTTCATGTAGTAAAAAACTTACAGGTCACATTGGACGGAGTGATTTATATTTGTAATTGTTAGTGTGACGGACCAGAATGAAACAAATAAAAAATTTCATCCATCAGTTATTCTGAGGTTTGCACCTAACACAGTATGTCGTCGTCATCAGATACATATTCTTATAATGATACACCTGCTTTCAGCTGACCCAACTCATCTTTGGCTATGCTACATTCTGTTGCAGCTTCACCATCATTGGTCTGATTTAAAGTGAATCCACATTTCAGAAAACAGATCATTATAATTGTGTGCCACAAATTTGCATCCAAAACATTTTGTGCTTGAATGACCTTATTATTCCCTGGTCAAGTGGCTGGGGAATGCTGGTGCTGGGGGAAAAACTTTCACTTCCTTAGGTCACTTGTGTCCTGGGGATTAGCAGAACACTGGTCAATGAAAAGTGAAATCTTCCTATTCTGGAAACTCGTGTTGGCATCTGGTGCCCTTTAAGAGTCAGTAAACACGACCTGTGCAAACCATGCTCTTCTGTTGGCTGTGTATTTTGTAGGCAACTGTGTGATATTTTTAAAGCAATGAGGGTCTTCACTCTTCCCAATAACTAATGGTAGGAGTTCAGCACTCCTTTCAGCACTGCAGGCTAATAGAACAGTTATCCTTGCCATGAAATTCCTTCCAACACTGCAAGGATCCCGTTTCAAACCAAATGTCTTGTTAGGTGGAAGCCTGTAGAACAGCCTAGTCTTATCGGCTTTACAAATGCTATTAGGTTCACAACTCTCAGTAATTCTGACTAACTGTTGAACAGGCTACACTTCTGCACTCTCCTGATATAGTTTTGTGCACAACACTGTGTGTCGCTTGAAATAGCAGATCTGGCCATTCGAAGCCATTGCCACCTTGTGGCAATGTAGTATAGCCTTTTATCTCAGCAGTGTGCTACTGACTATTGCAGTGCTGCCTCTAGCTTGTTTAAACAGAGCCAACAAACTCTCCAGCTTTCCCTTTGATGGGACAACCTGCAGCATTGTGTGTAACATTTTTTGGTATCGTCACTGTTTTTAACAACAAAGTTCAATGTGTACAATACAATTCCTAATCTGGCAACTATCGCAACACGTGTTTCCTTATTAGAATCCACTTGGGCTATAACAGAGAATGCTTTCCTCTTCTCTGATTCACTCACTACAATGAAAAAATGGATTTAAACCAGGAACGAAAATAAAACGTTTCATCGCTACACAGGCAATGGTAGGAAACATGGCTCCACTTTTCTGGCACAACCTTGAAGCCATAGACCACTGGCCATCTCTGCAAATCTGGTTTCTTCTGTACAAAGTTTGCCAGCTTCTAGAACTATCTGAAATTTTCCAGGATAGTAGTCCATCAGTGTGTGCACATTTTGCGGAAATATGGGAAACAAATCCCTGAGTGTACCATGCACTGTTTATACTGATACAAACATTTACCATATCAAGGTCAGTATCCTTGTCAAACTGGAAGGTTATATGGAAATAATCTTTCATAAGCAAGTGAAAAAAGTACAAGTGAAAAAACAGATGGAACAAAAAGTAAGAGAACTATCATGAAGTCATGTGAGAAGCACATCCCCAGTACACTGCATTAGAATGAGGGAAGTGATGTTACTGAAATAAGACTAACTTATAATAAAACTTGAATGCACCATTAGGGTCTGCAAAGCAAAGGCAATGTCATGACAACTGATGAACATAAGCCTGTCTACATCAACAAAATTTAACAAACCAAGCCATCTATGTCAATTTCTTGACCACTGCAATGAGCTATTGCTTCCTGCTCTTACACTTGAAGATCACATGGGCAAAGAAGAGTTCTGTCTTCTGGAATATAATGCCATGTAGTAGGATGAAAGTCAACCAATATTTCAGAAGAACATCAGCTGACTTTCAATGGACTATACAACACTATATCCCAGCAGAGAGAACCCTTCATAACTGCAGCTGTGAGAACCTGAAATACTACATAACAAAGGCAAGAATCCATTCAGAATGGGATATATTTACAGTAACATGAAGCAATTCATAGCAAAACAATAACATCCTTATGGGACTGAGTTGAGATGTACTTCAACACTCGCACCGCTTTCAGTGATTACCACATATCTGGGTCAACAGAGGTGCCACCAGAAGGCCAGAAGTTTGTAAATGATTCATAGCCCCAACAGCATGCCTGTAATTTTTGTTGATGCTCTGAAGCACTCATAGGCAACTTGATTTAAAAATTTTTACTGTGATGGCAAAAATGTGAGAAATATTAAGGCTATTTTGTAGATAAACACTTGTGCCAAAACTGCAGAAACACAAGTACAAATTAAGATTAAGTCCTGGAATCTGCAACACACGACAACACTAAGAGACCACAGAAACTTAAAACTTCAAAGCAAAAGCTCATGATAAACTGCTGACTACATATACAAATTCTTTCATTGTTTGAAACATACTTTGAACCAATGACAACATACAATGTCTCATACAATAGATCTCTACAAAGAGAAACAAAAGCAAAATCTACACATATGATATGGAAACACAGAAGAGGATGAAATAAGAAATGGAAGTTTCAGAGTAGTTGAGTTCAAAATTTTTTCACAAACACAGAAGGAAAACAAATATGATAGTTTGGCGAGTACAAAGAATGGAAAAAATAAGGATATTGATGAGGGTATTAGAATTAAAACTTGAAGCAAAGTGACCTATGAGATGATGCAGAACAAGACAAAGTACTGGAAAATATCAAGAAGAAAGGAGAGTGCGGGGGATACAACATTAGTACTGACACAAAAACATGTTCAATAACAATTACAAACCTGAACAGATGGTTTAAAAACTTGACATACAAAAACCAGTGGATAATAATCTACTGCATTAAGAAGAATTAAACATTCAAACCACCTGTTAAGTCCATATTACAGGCTTTGAAAGAAATTCATACTTGACAACAGCACAACATTTAGCATACTGAACACTTGCATAATTTATACAGTTCTGTAAACAACTGAATTTTCTGAAACCTTAAATGTACAAGGGGTATGAAGTTGAAACTTACCATCACAAGGAACACTTTAATTTGACCACTACCATCCATGGCAGTTAGGCGAACACTCTTCGAACTTGGCCTCTGCACAGACATCCCAGCCCAGATCTGAAAATACATCCCCCCGAATTACAATTGCAGATAGGGAGATATGATGTGATAAATATGCACCTGTTACACACAAAAGGAGACATTATTTTTCCTCTAAACATACTGGTACTCAAATTTGAGGATGGCATACCATGTGATATGAAGATTACCGTCTCCCTGAATACAATACTGTGATATTATAACTGAAGAGAGAGCCATTACTAGATTACAACACAGTAAACAACTCATCAGCATAACAAAAACTGCACATGCAACAGAGGAACAATGTTTTCTGTGCAGTCTATGCAGACAGCAACATCACCCAACAACAGAAGAACTATTGGAAGTAGAGTTTTCTGTGTGGTCCATGTTGAGGCTCTACAAGGACCAGGGCCAGCTGCCATTACAAGTCTTGAGATGGCAGTTTGAACAGTAGGAGGTTGGTGTGAGATGGTTACCAGCCTACAAGGTCGTGAGCCCAGAAGCATAGGATCCACTGTTGGAAGATTTTATCAGGAAACATGACTGAGAACACTAGTCTGTGTGTGATAGTGATTTGTGAAGCGTAGTCTTGAGTTGTTTAAGAGTCCAATAAATCCAGTTATCAATCTAAAACCTGTCTATGGTCACTTATCACATCACAATACTATGAGCCTCATAGAAAGTTCGAAACGTTACAGAAGATCCTCCTGCTTCCATCTTCAAGGTAATTACAAAAAGAGAAACACTCTTCTATCCTGATGATGAAGGTGGCAGGTGGTTCCTCCAAAATACTGGTAACCTCCTACGAAACTATAAAGCATCACATCCTAAAAGAGAGTGCTCATCTTACTGGAACTCACTGATAATAATATACAATAAGAGAATGCCTTTTAAAGTCAACCCAAGATAATAAATTTAACATTTTCCTCCTTTCCCATGAAGCTGGAGCTGTTAAAATTAGAAACCAGCTATGATGGGTGATAGGAATATTTACAAGACAATGTCACCTAACAGGACAGCTATTCAAATTGGGATTGATGGATAACCCTGTTTGCTACAGGTGCCAAGAAAAAGACAAATCAGCCACAGATACCCTATGTGATTGTGAGGCTATAGCTTACTTAAGACTCAGTCACCTGGGACAAGATTTTATGGAGCCAAATGACCTATGACACCCCTATACACAAAGTCCTACATTTCATTCCAATTGTAGGATTGATAAAGGGGCAAGTAGAAGAGGAAGTACAACAAATCATTGAAGGTCGGAGTGCAAGGGCCAGATAATTGTGGTCCACCCCTTATGCATTCACTCATTCATTTATTCACAGGAAGCTTCTAGACACTTGCGGAAATACTTCCACATCAAAAGCTGAATACTGGCTCACCCGTTCTTCCTCATATCTCTCAGGTCCTGAACCTATCGACTGACAATAAGCGGCAAAAAGTATGGGAACATCGGCAAACAATGCCAATTGCAAACACAAATTTAAGTCTTAAGGAAACTCGTACAGAAATCTGATGTATAATTTCCAAGTTTACACGTTAAGTGGGTCCCTTGTCACCACAGCATGGAAGATGGAGGAGACAGCCTACAGATATGAAGGCTAGTGGCAAACATACTGGAAAAGCAGGTGCAGACAGCACACTAGAGGATGCCCTACAGCTTGGGAGTTGGGTGGAAGCTAACAATTCCTTGCGACAAAGAACCAGAATGTTATAACATGTTAGGCTGTGCCACAGCTCAGGCACTTAGTAGCTGGCTTCCCACCATGGCAGCCTGGGTTTAAACTCAGGTGAAGTCACGTGAGATTTATGCACAAAGTAACACTGGGGCAGGTTTCCTCAGAGTACTTTGGTTTCCCCTGCAAATTCTCATCTACCATCTGGGACTGGTACAATAGGTGAAGTAGTGGCTGATATAGCAAGTTTACTGAGTCTCACCCCACATTATAAAAAACTATAAATGTTATGAAAGGTTTAGGATTTAATGTGCTGTTGTTAATATGATAATGAACCTCTGAATTTCATAAAATATGACAAATTTCTTGATTTTATGGGTAACTATTAGCTCCTCAAGAACAATCTGCTATATACAGTTAGTTATTTGTACAAAGTTTTCAAATATTAAATAAGGTAAAGATGTCTCTGTGCTTAATTGATCTGCATGCCACAGAAGATGCATAGGAGAATGGATGTATAGGTCTACGTATTTTTAGTTTCAGCTCTGGATGAAGGTGAGTGGTTGGCTTCATGCCCTGGCCACTTCAACGATGGGGAAAGTTATCGAGATAACCAGATAAATAAAAAAGAAACGGCAACATTGTGCCCAGCCACCAAGCTACATATACACTGTAGGGGACATGCATTTTAAAGCTCAGAATATGTGGTAGTTGGTTGAGGCACTATGCTACAAGCCAGAAGGTCATGGGTTCGAGTCCCAATGAGGCAGATTTTTTCAATTTACCTAATCCTTCCAGCCACACTATGGTCCTGTAGATGACTCTGCCTCTAACAGAAATGAGTACTAGGAATGTTCCTGGGGGGTAAAGGGTAGCAGGTGTGTAAGGCTGATAGCCTTACCATTTTCTGTGAGCCGACTGTCTAGAGACAATGTGGGAGTCTTGATGTTTCAAAATCCTAAGGGCCTGTCACAAGGCTACCTTCTTTATCTTTTACACTGTGTTACATACCAGAAGGCAGAACTCTTCATAATCACCACTGTACTTGTTTTATTTGTAAATTTGTAAATACATAAAATGCGATATGTAGGATTTGAGATTCTCAGGGTGGTGATTATTGTGACCTATTGCGCTATGGAGAACATCTCCTCCCCTCCAGCAGTGACGTAACAACATCAAGCGCTGTTGCTGCTATGGTAACAGGCCAGTCAACACTCCGCCTCCCTCCCCCACGGTGACATAGCGGGAGATACCGCGGTTGCTATGCAGCAGTAAACAACTCTCGACAGCGTTGCCCAGCAACACCTGTAAACACGGCAACTAGGCAACAAGGAAGCGAGGCATTTTCCCGTTGTCCGGCTGAGGGTTTATAAGAGAACTACTCTGCCTAAGGAGTCAGTTGGAATATAGCGGCAGTCACAGGAAGAAGAACCGAACACGTGGTTAGAAGATTTGATGTGACAAACTGTGATACTGCAGATGGCAAAAGTAATTGTGAGATTGTAAGAGCGAGTGGAATAAATTCGCTGTATCAAATAAGGCGTGAAGTTACTTGCCGCGTGACATATACCCAACACGTGACATTATGAAGAGTTCTGCATTCTGTGATATAACACAGTATCATTTGTTGAAAGTCAACTAACGTTTTGGAGGAACATGTCGCTTCCATCTTCAGGGTGGAAGAGTCCAATGAGTAATGGGAAGAGCCCAGAATCTGAAGCTGACCACTCACTGCCTTCTAGTGCCGAGCTTCAGAACACATGGTTCCTGCAGTGTACATGTAGTTTGGTGGCTAGGCATAATGTTGCCTTTTCTTTTTCATTTATTTTGATATCTTACCCCATGGGTGAAGTGGCCAGGGCTTGAAGCCAATGACTCACCTCCATCCAGTGTTGAGGCTAAGAATGCATAGACCTATACATCCATTCTTCCATGCATCCACTTCCAACATCGAAATCCTCCAACACTTTCAATCCAAGAGACTCCGATCTATTCTGAAAGCGCCTTGGTACATAAACAGCCACAGGTTCCATGAAAATCTACAAATGAACACAGCGCTCAGTGAAATAACAAAGAGAAATAGCAAATACTTAAGCAAATTAGAAAACCACACAAATGCACCAGCAGTGAACTTACTAGACAACAGTGAAACTACAGAGACTGAAAAGATACACTGTCCTAACTCTACCACACAGACCTGAGTAAAACCTCGCCCAAAAGAATTAAAATGATACCTAAGTGAAAAAAAAAGAAGTATGAGTTACACCACTGAGCATAACTCATTCACAAGCCAGTACTTATTGAACATATACATATATTGCAGATTCTGCAATTACGTATAATAAATGTGTGAAAAAAAATGTTTTATAACATCTTCATCAGAAGCGGCAACTGAGACATGCACTTATCACATGTACTGTGGCCTGGCACCAAGTAAAGGATCAGGGAGGGTATACAGAAACAACATGCAGTGGTGCCAAATGTTGCATTGTAGAAGGTTGGTTTCCTGTGAATGTGAATTGTTAGCCTACTTTCCTTATTTTTTTTGGGGGGGGGGGAAACGAATATAGGCTTAGGATATCATCTTGATGTCTTTGTATGTGTATCCTACCCTAACAACTTTTTGAATGCCATAACCAATCTTTATGACACTTCATAAGCATATCATGCCACAGGAAGCCATCTCAATGGTGTACATCTTAAATCTCTCCCATCAGTAATATTAACACTGCAGCCTCTCAGATTTCTGACACAAAACCTAAATGTTGCTTGAACAGCTGTGTCAATCTCTATGAAACTTGGTAAGTGTATACCATGCCATCTCAGGTCATCTCAACAGTTTACTTAAAAAAATCACTCCCATCAATAATACCTACACTGCAGCCTCCCAACTGTATTGTTTTATTGTTTTCTTTCTGCTTGTTGAATCAAATACTTGAATTACAGTGAGAGGAAAGTAGGCAGTTCTTCCCAGGCCTTCTTGTTTTGTTAAATGCATTTCACTTGCTTCAGCCATCAATTTTAGTAAGAACAACACAAAAGTTCTAAATTTAATCAGTATAAACACTAAGCCTCCTGACTAAAAACAACCACCAAATTGATGTGGACATCAGTTATGCCAACAAATTAATCTGTAAAGTACTTGATACAAAATTCCTTGGAATACATGTAGACAGTACACTGTCTTGGAAAATACATATTGAACAAATTATACCTAAATTAAATGCAGCTTGCTATGCGATGAGATCAATTAAGCCTTTTATGTCACAGGAAACATTGAAGATGGTTTACCATGCCTACTTTCATTCTATTATGAACTATGGATTAATATTTTGGGGGAACTCTTCACATAGTGTAATAATTTTTAAAATACAAAAGAATATACCTATTGGAGGAGGAGTCTTGGGAACTTGTTTTCAGGCAAACTTCAGTTAATAATGCATATAATTAATTTTTAGGTACTTTCCAGTATTATTATAACATAGCTATGCCTAAAAAGCGGGTAAGAACTAATCAACTAGGAAATAAATGGGTTACCTCAGGTATAAGGGTATCAAGCACCAGGCTCAGGTTTCTAAATAGATTAATGAAAGAAAGAAACATATCAGAAGAGTTTAAAAAATATTATTATCGGTATAAGAAAATTTACAACAGAGTAATTAGCGAGGCCAAGAAATTATCTAATAACATATGGATAAATACAGCAGGAAACAAATCTAAAGCTATGTGGGACCTAATTAAACAGGAGTTAGGCAAACATAAAAAAGAAACTAGGAATATTGAAATAAATGTAAATGGGACAAATACACAGGATCCAAAAGTCATAGCTAATGTCTTTAATGACTATTATACCAGCATTGCTCACGATATCTTGAATAGAAATCCACTACAAAAAAATATTGAAGTTAATGTCAATGCAAAAAAATATAACAGTGGTAGTATGTTTTTAAATCCAACTACAGAAGTAGAAGTGGCAGGCATAATAAAAAAATTGAATAACAAAAAATCAACCGGTGTAGATGAAATCTCAGATTATATTATTAAGAAGTGTTATCCTAAGATAACACATGCTTTGACATACATAATAAACTTGTCATTCTCAACTGGATATTTTCCAGACCAGTTAAAAATTGCAAAAGTGAAACCATTGTACAAAAAAGGACTTGATACAGAAGTTGGGAATTATAGACCAATTTCGCTGATCTGTGTTTTCTCAAAAATAATTGAAAAAATCATGCAGACAAGACTCTTATCATTTCTAAAAAACCATAGTATAATTAGTGATAAACAGCATGGCTTCTGTAAAGGGAAATCAACGAATACTGCAATTGCAGAGTTTCTTAAAAGGGTTTATAAATCTGTGGACGAGAGGGAAATAAGTATAGGGTTATTCTTGGATCTGTCAAAAGCATTTGACTTAGTAGATCATAATATTTTGCTTAGAAAAATGGCAGAAATAGGAATACGAGGGGTTGCACAAAATTGGTTTCAATCATATTTAGAAAACAGGGAACAAACAGTGGAAATTACCTATAGACATAAAGAAACTAATGAAATTACTAATTGTCTATCGCAAAAGAAACCAATAAGATATGGTGTTCCACAGGGTTCTGTTCTTGGACCAATGTTATTTTTGATATATATTAACGACCTAGAATCTAGCTTAGAACATGGAAAGCCAACACTTTTTGCAGATGACACTACTATTCTTATAACAGGAAATAGTATAGACAGTGTCCAGAGTAAAGTAGAGGAAACAGTAAAAAAACTTTCAGAATGGTTTGAAAGGAACAGATTAATCATTAATAAAGAGAAGACAATAGCAATATCCTTTCACCAGCTTCAAAATCTACATTTTCAATGCCCTCCAATAAAGTTTCATGATACATCCATTAAATATTCAGAATATTCAAAATTTCTGGGAGTTTGGCTAGATAAGAATTTAAGGTGGTCTATGCACACCCAGGAACTAGCAAAAAAGTTATGTAAAATATGCTTTGGTCTAAGAGTAGTAAAAAGAGTATCAGGGCTGGAGTCTGTTAGGACTCTATATTATGCCTACTTTCATTCTTTGTTATCATATGGAATATTATTTTGGGGCAACTCACCAAATGCTAAATTGATTTTTAAGTTGCAAAAGAGAGCTATTAGAGCTATGATGCAAATTCAGAAAACTACTAGTTGTAAACAGTATTTTAATTATTTAAATATATTGCCCCTACCATGCTTGTATATTTATGAAACGCTGGTATACACAAAATCAAACTTGAAGACTCTTGCAACCAATTCAGAAATACATTCATATAATACAAGGGGAAAAGATGACCTATATATTGTTTCATGTAATACCAGTTCATGCAAAGACAAATTTTATTAATACTGGACTTCGTAAGTACAATCATTTACCATATTACATTAAGGAGATACGAGCTCTATACAGATTCAAGAAAGCTTTGAAAAATTTCCTGTTTGATCATTGCTTTTACAGTGTAGACGAATGTCTTACTTCTTTAGAAAAGAGTTCTAGTTAGACTAAATTATATATTCCAAGATTCAAAGAATCAGTTAGCCTCATAGTATTGAATAATACAAGTCATAAGAACGCTTACCGCTCAGTTCATTTATTATTTTTACAGTGTAGGTGAGTATTTT